TTGGATGACCCTCGTAAATGGACATCGGACGTTTTCGCATACTTTTGAGGTTCGACCCCCTAAATGGGGGCGAAAAAACAAAAAACAGGTCAAATCCGTCTACACATAGATGCGCCTACCCTTGAAGATGACGTTAAGCCAAAAAACTCAAAATCCAAAAAAATGGACATCGGACGTTTTCGCATACCTCGATTCAATTGCTGTATTGCGTTCCGCGACAATAGGAACGTGCTACTAATGGAGTCTCTGCCCGCCGGCAAGTAGGACTCCTTCATTACGGGCGCGCCTTGAAGAATGCTCACTGGAATAAGAATCGGCATAAGACACGAGGACTGACGCTAAATCGCTTTCCGCGGAATCCAAGCTGCAGAGAAATACTCCGATCGTATAGTAAATATTTTGGTGCTAAACTTTGAAGGTCCGTGAAAGAATACATCAATGGAAAAGAAAACACATTGGATCTAGAGTCCAGACTTTTGAAAACATTGGCAAGAAAAAATAATCTTGATTCAATCAGATTTTTGCTTAAATCAAAAGGAAATCCGCTCAAATTAAGAGGCTTGGTTCTTGATCCAAGCAAAACTCCGATTGAATCAAGAGTATTTTTTCTGGTCGATGTTTCTAAGAGTCTGGACTCCTCTAGATCCAATGTGTTTTTTTTTCCAGTGATCAACTTTGAAACAGCGTCTTCAAACGTATATTTGGTTTTTATGATACGTTATGGACAATTTAAGGCATATAACGTAACGTCCGCAACAAAAATAAGTCTCCTAATGAAGTCTTCGCTCACGAACTCCTTCAATACAAGCGTGATGGCACAAAATTTTAAAAAAATGTCAATGTCCCTGATAAGTATTTTACAGGAGCTGAAGGCAATCCCCAGCTCAGATGAATTTCCTTGAATGATTTCATAACATATGAACATACCTGCTAGAAAACGTGGCACGATGGCACCAACATGGACTTGCTCATGAAGTATAGAATTACATTAACACAATGCTACGACTCTGAAAAACACCGTAACACGATTCATTGACCTCATGAGCGGGATATTTATTAACTTTGCAGGATATTTGAAAACGTTATCAATCGTTTGAAAGCGACTGAGCCTCTAATTATAGCTTTTAATGAACTTTCTTCTCTTTAATAGCTGCTGAAATGCGCAAAGGAGCCTAAGCCAATGTGCCGCCATAATATTTTTCGCATGCGTATCTCTCTTTCAAAGTTGCCGGAACAAGCTGGGGTTTCAAGTGGGGATTCTCAAAATTGTCTCCAACCACATACATCCTTGAACGTTTTTAATCAGCGTTCAATCTAGACGCTTTTCCATCGAATATCTACCCCTTTGTGAAGCACTGGTCTCGCCCACGAGCGCGGTTCGCGGAACTTCGAACGAACTTGTTCCTGGGACTTATTATAACTTAGGTATCGAACCTTCAGTTTGTGGAACTAATTTGCCCCAACTGCGCTCGTGTACATATATTGTGTACAAAGCTTCAGAGTCATAATGCCATGATACCGGAAAATGAGGTATGCAACATTGAGTTTCGAGGAAATTGACGATTGTGTCCGAGCGTTAAAATTACCAGATTGAACCCTTTAATTTTACCATTACCCCCGTAAGATTATCAGTTAATCGTAATAATTATTTTTGTCGGTCATAATTACTACCAATCAACATTTCCCATGGAACTCATCTATTTCAGTAATTTCAATTATAGTTCTGCTCAGTGCGGCAATTTCTTTCAATTCTTTGGAAGGATGCTATATCCAAAGTTACACCATAGAATCTATTGCGGCTCTTGCAAATTGTGTTAATTGATGGTATGTAAAACAAGAAGGGTTGCAATTTATCATGAAAAATAAAATCTTGAAATTTCATGTGAAATTTTTATGAAACTCAGAAATTTATGAAAGACATTGGATATTATTCTTCGAAAGCTAGTGCCAAAAATTGTGGTTTTTGTAATATTTATTGTGCGTCACATACCGAACCCTCAAAGATCCAATTCATATCTCTGGCAGCTTTGTGAAATTTCATGAAATTTTTCACAGAAATTGTCAATTTTTTATTTGCTTCATTCACTTCTCTTCACTTGTGCAGCACACTGAAACGAAAGATCGGTAGAATTTACCATTCATTCACGCTGTACTTTACTCAACGTCAATTCAGTTTCAATTCTGCCAAAATAAAGGTAAACGTTAGTGTATACTGGTACTTACGGGTAACCATTCCTCTGGCAGAATCGACTTTGAATTTACTCTGTGTAAAATACAGCGTGAAGGAATGGTAAATTCTACCGATCTCTTTTTTCATTGCACTGCCGATGAAGGACAAGTCTTCCAATCTCCCAGTTCGGTTTAACTTGATGCATTTTGGTGCGGTTCCGTTTCTGGTATATACTCAGCCCAGTCGTGAACCGGGTCCTACTTGGAGTAACTTTGCATGCGAATGAGGTTTGATGCGTGATAGCGAGGCAACAATGCATGTGAATGAGCCATGGAAGCGCTGCAGCCGCTCCAAGAACTCTTCTCACCTATGCTCCTGGAGCCAGAGCCAGCCGCTCAGGAGCAGCCGTCGGAAGAAGTAGTTCAGGGCCGAACCGCAGACTCCGAGACCCGGCCTCCCCCCCTCTCCCACTCTCACCCCCAAGCGGCCCCCTCTCCGCGTACCCCGTCGTCCGAAGCCAGAACAGCGTAACTCCCATGGAGTGTTTACGTAGATCCGCGGTTCTTGCTCACCAAGGGCCCTCGGTTTCTTTCACCCGCGGGAATCTCATTGGTGGACGCTGCGTCGAAAGTAAACAGCGATCGTTGACGAAGATGGGCGACCCGAGGAAGTGGCGTCGCAATTTTTCCGCCGTTTTGAATCTGCGCCGATAATTTGCATTCTTGAAGGCGTGTAATTCAGTGGCGAGGCGTTAATGATCAATTATCGGTATTTCCCCCTTGAAGCCATGATGAAGAATCGATTATTAGGTGTTCTTTGCGAACACCCTGTTTATCGATCCTTTTCCGTATGCTTAAATGGCAGATCAATCTATACACAGGGTTATTCAAAAGTTACGCACCACTGCCCATAACTTCAGTCCTAATTATGATATCGATTTGCGGATTATGCGTTTTTCCTCATATCGAAGGAGGAACTCTTTTAGGTACTTTCCATTTTTTTATCCCCTCGGGGGAAGGGGGGCGGGGGGCAACTCAAAAATTTCAAATGGCCACCCCCCTAATGGCCACCCCCCTCATGGCCAGTGCTGCGTGACTTTTGAATAAAGGCGGAACGGCACGTCACTGGTGTAATTATTGTCAGCGCTTGGTTGTCCGAATGTATGGGCTTCGTCCTCGCGTTTTGAGACTGCTTTAAGGGATGATGTTTCGGAGCTTGATTGTTTATTTCCCTGAAAAGAAATTTTTCCATGTCAGCCATGCTTTCATTGCTAAGTTTTGAAGGGTCGCATGTTGCATCTAATGTATGCTTTTACGACTATAGAGATAAACCGAGTAGATTTACTGATATAACATTTTTCTTTTTGTGTTTCAGGTATGAAAACTTTTGAAAGCGAACATACATTGCCTCGGAATTTTGTCAGGAGATCGAAATTTAGGTAAATGATCACCATGGAGTTATACCATTTTAGCCCAATACTTTTTGAGTTTCTTGACTCATTAAACAATTTTAGGACCTGACTGGAGCTTCAGAATCGGCTGAAGTATCATATTTCTATATTAATCGATCACAAAAATGCACCACGTGCTGCTCCGGTTTTAAAGTCCCAGGAATCCTTGCACCCGTACTGCCGTGCTAAGGAAAAAGCCGTATGAACATTCGGGGCCTTTCCTTCGATAAAATGTCTATTTTTGAGGAAATTTATGAATAGTTTTCATAAAAATTTTCAGAGGAAAATTGGTAGACAAATATTCGAAAAAATTCCTGAAAATTAGTGTTTTGTCAGGGGAAATTTGGTAACGCCCGAAGGCTCATGCCGCGTTTTTCCTTAACGCGGCAGCGTGGTGCACAGTAACGCATTCAGCAGCACATTCGCGGGAAATCGCACCGGCTCGGCCGGAAAGTCGAACGGGAAACGAAACCAAGCGGAAATCGAGACAATTAATGGCCACAATGGTGAATGGTGAACGCTGGAACTTGCAACAACTATCTCGTCTCGAACAACTGCATACGGCCATTGAATATTCCACGATAATTATACTCCCTGCTCCAGATCCGAGACACCGGGGCTTTCGGTGACACAAGTGACAGAAAGGCCGCGCTTTCCGAAAGTTCCAACAGAATGAGAGATGCGTGAAGTTGGAAACCTAGTTTTTTGGTATTGTTGGCCGCACACCTCTTCGCCTGCCCGCGAGAACAATGGTGCAATCCCAGCGTTTTGAAAAATGCAAACCTCAGTATTTCAACCGCTGTGAGCGGTCTTGGGGAAAATTCCGAGGCCTAACCCGGAATGTTTAACTCTTAAACTTTTGGTGAAAGTTCACCAATTCAAAGCTAAAAACTTAGCTCCGTCTCAGGTACACAAGCTATCGTTTCAAGTTTTTTCCAAATTTGGACTGATTTTTTCGTTTTCAATAAATTTGAGTATGAAGGCTAGAGTGCACGTCACATAAATAATTATTCATGCTTTAGAAGTATATTTTTATTTGTTTCGTGTTTTGTATCTGACGGCCATCAACAAAGATCTAGATTTTCACGTATAGGCAAAAATAACGCAATTCTCATATATGAACCTGCTTGTTTTTATGAACTGGAATAACTTCGTTGTATCCTTGACAGAGGAACGTAACCTCATCCTAAGTTCGGAAAAGTAACTCAATTATTTCGACTTTCCCAAGAATAAAACGGTGCAATTTATTCCATAAATTTAACTAGTTTTTGCATGCAATTCTAAGGAAAATCATTGAAATCTTCAGTAGAACTGCCCCTCAGTCTAGTCACACAATATAATTTGTGAGTGAAAGTATACCAGCGTCGCAATTCAGTTTAAGTACCGTTTGGGAAATGATCGAATGTGTAGAAATTTTGTGGCAGTGCGTTGTAAATTTACATTCAGGGGTTTTCAGTTTTATCACTGACTCCAAGAAAAACTCAACGGACAGACGTCATTCTGTGTTTTTAAACAGTCCATCAAGTTATCAAGTAATTATCAACCCTATATCGGGAGTAACAATTTTTCATTTCATTTCATTCCCTTTTTTTTTTTAAATGCATCAAAATCATTTCTTAACCGATATTAAGATCGAAGATTCTGGGCAAATCTATATAATTTGTTCCCAGAGGAGTATAGGCAACAGTGAGGAAATAAGTCAATGGAATTTCCATCCTATCTCACGGCATAGATGAAACTTTTCCCCATAGGGTCATCCGTTGGGATTTTTGTAAATGATCCGTCTTTTAACCCCCACAATTGTAGCAATATTAGGGTGAGCCTTGCCCCGCCACTGAAGTCGTCTCCTTGCTGTTGAGTTCGAGCCGATTGAGAGTTCAACAAGCGTAACTCCTCTTTCACCTGCTCCTGTGTGCGAAGCAGAGCACATTATCGGGTACTAACAACTCCACTTAAAATGTTACGGTCGGAGCAGCGCGGCATGGCGTCGGAAAGTGAGGAAAAAACGGAGGAGATAAAAGTGGAACTAATCGGCAGCTATGGACATTGTTTGTTCATCAGGCAGCTCTATCCTTCGCCTCGGAGCATTGACAAATGACTTACGTGCCCCCGCAAACAAATCCGTGCTTAATTTTCGACCGCGCATCGTCGTCCCGTAAAAAAACGGCTTACGGTTCCCTCCGGTGGTGCCAAAAATATTCTCTCCAAGTTATGCTTATTTTTCAACTTTCTTTTTCCGAACTAAGTAAAATTTCCAGTAAAGTAATGTTGTGATTGTAATTATATAATTAACCGCGGAGTTATAGCGTTTAAGTACCGTGAAACATCTTTTCCCGTCAAATTGTACGTAAAATTCTCTAAATATGCACATCGAGTCAATGGGGATAAGGATTAAAGTGATCTTGTAAATTAGTCCGCCTTCATCTGAGAGGGTCGGCAAAAGGAGCTCACGTGAGCAGTAATTGTGGTATCTGAATAGCGAGGCTGTAGCTGTACTGTTACGTTGTCAGGATGATACTACTTTTCAAACGTCAAAGATACCGCTTTTGCCTATATCCTCTCAGCTGAAGGCAAAGCTGTTTATCCAAGAAATCTAGGATATTATGAGATAAATCATTCGTCCCTCACGATATTATCGCTCTGTGAAAAATTTCCCGTGTGATTCTAGGACCAGCCCTTACCTCACTTTTGCTTAGAGGGTACACGCCACCCTCGCAAATTTAAGGAATGAAGTATAGGTAGACTTCCGCGATGGGAATAAATGAATGTTTTTTCATTGTTGTTTCCCTCAGTTTTATCTCCTAATTTTATAAAAATATCCTGCGATTGAGTTAAATTGTCGTATTATATGAACAGTTAGACTGCGTTATGCAGCGAGGAGCCACAGGCAACAGCTCCTCATATCTTGCAAAAAAAAAAAAAAAAGAATCTGAAGATGACTGCAGTCCCTTTTCATCGCATAACAATGTTCATCAGATGAAAAAATCATCCTGCAAACATCATACATAAATCGATCTGCTTTCAATTAATTTATCATAATGTCCCATAATCGTAGCAACATTGTTCTTATTTCCTTGCAGCGAAAGTTGATCCAGGTACGGACCTGTGTAAGGTAGTTACGACTCTGCAATTTTTTGTAACTGGATGTTTTAAAAAGGTTAGTAAATAATCGATCTGACAACAATGTGCCAGAGCCTGACAGTGTAACAGTTTCATCCGCCCTGCCCACAAGCTCTCCGATGCACTTTTTTAACCTGTCGCAAACGAGGTACATTGGTGGTGAATACCTTTTTCTTTCTTTTTTGTCACTGAGCGGAATAAAGGGGAGCTATCTTTCAACTGTTGTTCATTTGATAAGCTACTGTTTCTTTTGAAGTTCCGGAATCCTGAACGCATAAACCAACGCCGAAACGACCAGTAAAGCTTTTGTGAACCTACTTTAAGCCGCTGTGGATTGAGGTCAGCCGAGACTGAGAAGTAACAAACTATTAGATCCTATAACACGTGGTCTGGGAATACACCTGCGTTTCGGATGGTTGATGCTGTTGAATCAGGCTGTGAGCTAATCAATTCAGCGGGGTTGAATTTTAAACGCCGAGCTATGCAGTATGCATAACCACACCATGGAAGATTCTATTTGAAAATCTAAATTTTGAGAAATGAAATTTTTGGAAGTGTTGAAATAAGTTGTTTCTGACTGAAGTCTTCGATTTACATCATCATCCTTGAAAATTAGGCAAGTTTGTCGCCTGCGGGCTGATTATTGAAGCAATTGACAGACAAAGCTATAGACAAATAAGGGATATGGAGGGATCCGATTGGTGGAAGCGGGTGGTTGCAATGTACATAAGAGTAGGTAACATCCTAACTAACGGCAGCCCACGAGAGACCCGGTAGTTAGTCCATCATTTTCTCCCTTAGTCCATAGAGACCATGCATTTCAACCACTGGGATCGCTCGATACTCACTATATCTTCTTTGTCTATAGCTTTGTCTATAAATTTCATTATCGATTTGAACAATCGATCTTAGATGACTCATTCCAGTTTCAGAGTTGTTGTCCTTGTGAACTTTATTCACGAGTTCGAATTTATGGCGCTTACTGCATTGACTCTGTTGGAAACTCGCTAAGCTTTTACGTTTTCAATTACGTAATACGCATTCATTTTGCATGCAATTTTAGAGAATTAAAATTGTTTGTTTTCGAAAATATGTAGACTTGGATGACGCTGTTGTATTACTGAGCAAGAATCACTGTTTTTCCAATCAATGATTGATACTGGAATGCAATGCCATCACCGCAATTTTGCAACAGAGAAATGGCTGCATCTAATTAGTGCTCTAATTTGTTCGGGAGTCTTAATTTATCCGTGCATACGAACAGGACCGGCATATTCAAACGATCCACGGAACTGAAGTCACTGCGAGTTACAGCTCAATAATTGAATGAAACGCTGCTTTTGTTTGTGTCAGCGCCAATTCAAAAATTGTAGTTATCGGAAATGAGGGTAAACATCCTGCTTCGTTTGTGAAAGTCAACGAGTGGAGATTTTTGTTTACGAATGTGCTACGCGGTTCCGCGTCTTTCCGAATGAATCGCTGTTTTTAAAGCTTTGGATTTATAAGTTCGATCCAGCTTTGGCACTCGGAGAATTTACACTTTCATGTGTATCTGAACCAACTAAAACTCTTTATTTCGGAATAAGCGTGCGGTGTGTTCCCAGGCTGAAACGAGTCTATATCAGGATCAGCATCAGTGGTTTTCAAGTTACGATATCAATTTTGACAATGCAATAGTAATGGACGAATTTCTAAGAATTAGATGTTAAAGATGCACAATTTTCCTCCCAGAAAAGAGGCAAAGCCATTAATATTTATACGATGTATAGTTCAAGAAAGACATATTTTTTTCTGTGTACACGTGTCAATCTAAATTTATGCTGGTTTAACAATGTCTACATGTACCTAAATTTTATTGTAAGCACACG